TGCAATGCCAGAGTACAGAAGCTTGGGTGTGCCAGACAGAGCAGGACTGATGGGCTGCCCAGACAGACTGTGTGGGGCAAGGGTCTGAGTAGTCATGTAAGATGAGTGTACTGACTGGGGGAGATTGCACAGCCTCTGAGTCCTTGCAAAGCAGCATGCATGCTAATGGTCGTGAACAAGTTGTCTGTCCAGTAAAATAGTGGTTACTGGGATTCACATGTGGATACCCTGGCCTGGCACTTTTTTCAGCTGAAGGAACCCCAGGTTCCTCTTCAGGTGTGCAGAGCAGGAGATGCAGCTCTAAACAAAGCCTACAAATGTCTTGTTCTTGCCCATTTAGTCTGCCATGTAGGTGCTAAACTTGACACTTCAAGATGGTTGCTTCTTGTTTGAATCTAGGAAAAAGAAAAATTTAAGATGGTTTTCAAATAAAAAGACTAGTTGTTTTTTTTTATTTGTTTGAAATGTGTCAGCAGAAGTAAGTTGCCACTTGGATTTTTCTGGAGAGGAACAGGGAATGAAGGACAAAGGAGGACTGTTCTTCCTCCATTGGAACCAGCTGTGATTTGTTCAGCTTTTGTGCATTTGGATGGGCACTCTGAATTGAAATCCAAACTGGAACTAGCAGTTAATGCTACATACAAGCAGCGTAATTTGACTAAACAAGCTTTTAAATGATCACAACTAGGCTTTGATGGTGAAAAGTGGGGTTTTCATAACTGCGGAAGTAATTTGAGAATATGCTTGCACCCAAAGCCGGAGCCAGTAGGGTTGGTTGTTATTTTTTTTGCTTGAAGATGATTATGGTGATGATTCATAATTTTGTTAGTTTCGGCAAATGAGTGGTTTGCAAGTGTAAGTTGATTTAACATCTGAGGACCTCTGAGCAAGTCATTCTCCATTTTGAGGAAGAATTTATCTACAGAAAATTCTCAATTTTTGTTTGCTTGTTGTTTTTTTGCCTTTGGTTTCTTACGTGGGTATTGACTGACTGCAAATGAGAACTTCCTTGAGATCCTAGTAGCAGCCTTTCTTTTTCTTGGATTTGTGGATGCAGTTCCATGCTTTCAGGAATGAGTTAGTGTGGTTTAGAGGTTCATTTGATGAACAGGAGTTTACTAGTACTATACAATCTGAGTTATGAAACTTAGTGTACCAGAAAGATTTTAACTAGATGTTTTTTCACTCTCTTTATTTCCTTAATTAGAGCATCTGATTTTTTTCCTTCTGCTCTTAATAGCATATTTGGTTTCTAATATCAGAAGTAAGGTCCATTGAAATGTTTTCCCCAATCACTTTCTGATTGATTTTTTAATAACTTCATGGATTTATAGCACTTACAATTGTCTTGTGCAAAATCACTCTCCACCCCCTTTTTAACAACCACTTACTAGTCTGCAAAACTTAAAAAACCAAAACCAGTAGACTAACAGAAAAATTAAATCCACAGAAACTAACTTAGAGTAAGAACTTTTCTCCTTCTGTATGGATATTGGGAAATTTAGGGGGTGTGTAGAGGGAGTGTGTTTCCTAATAACAAGCTGTGCACTTGCACCCCATACTTCTTTAAAGGTCTTGTGGTTGGGATCCTAGTGGTATTGACTGGAAATGTGTAAAGAATTTTTATAAGGTTGTTTGAATAGCTGTGTAACTTCTTTTGAAAGCAGTAGAGTGAACACTTCTGCTTTGGAGAAGAATGCTTCTGTGGATGTCTGAGATGATGACAATTAACTATGGAGCTTCAAAGTTAAATCCTACAAATGCAATTATCCTCAAGAGGATTTAATGAAAATTTAATATTTTTAAAATACACTTTCTTTTTAGGTGGCACACTTGAGCGTATCTATTTTCAGGCAGGGTGTTGTCTCAGTAGCACCATGGTTCTGTTTTAATGTAAAGACATAAAAAGCCATTTGTAGACTTGAATGTAGCAGTATGTGACTAGATCAGTCACAGAAAGAGAGAGATGATGTACAGTAGATTCAAATGCCAAGGCAGAGCACTGGGCTGTGATGATGTTTGATAGTAGATGCACTTTCTTCTCTTGCAGTTTGGGGCAGAGTTCAGAAGATTCTCACTGGATCGTTACAAGCCAGGAAAGTTTGAAGACTTCTACAAACTCATTCTTCACATTCATCACATAGCCAACCTGGAAGTGATGATTGGGTATGCTGATGTACATGGAGACCTTCTCCCAATTAATAATGATGACAACTTCTTCAAGGCTGTTTCAAGTGCTCATCCACTGCTCAGGGTTTTTATACAAAGACAAGGTAAGATGCAATTTAATTTTGGTGCCTTGAAGTATGCTGGGACAAGGTGAAGTGTGGATTTGTAGCCCTCATGTAAAGGATTAAATTATGTGGAAGGGTCCTAAGAGCCCTCTCACTCCTCCTCTCAGGCACCTTATTGCAACTTGCAGGAATGGCATGACTTCAGAGTAGGTAGAGGGACTCATTGCTGCCTGAAAGGTGTTTGAAGGATAACATGCTGAAAGTCACCATGAGCCCCTTCTTTTCCAAGGGAAGCCTACCTTGTGCTGCTGGTATTTGGCACCATTTGAGCATGCCAACTGCACCGCTCTACTTGTTTGAGGGAGCTGTGAGGCGGGAGGGGATCTTACTGTTGTACTGCTACTTCTGTCTTATCTATCCATCTTGATAGTCAATGCCATACCCAATGATTCATGCCTGCATAGTGTGTGAATGCACACAAATGGTTTATTGGGTGTTTTTGCACCTACCTATGTGCTGTCACAAATGAGATCTTAGTTTGACTATTTTGGTCTGGCTGGCAAATGATTCTCCCCTCTGTCCTTACACTAAGGAGTGAAAACAAAGTAGTAACTTAATCTAAATGTACAGAACAACACCTCTTTAGGTATTAATTGGAAACCACATAGTGGAACAAGAATTTAGCACAGGCTGGGATTGTGTGTACAATCTCTGTGATCTAGTGAGGTGGTTGAATCACCACCCCTGGAGTTGTGCAAAAGATGTATAGATGTGATGCTTAGGAAGATGGTTTAAACACTGAACTTGGTAGAGTTAAGTTAATGGTTGGACTCAATGATCTTAAAGGTCTTTTCCAGCCAGAATAGTTCTGTGATTCTCCAAGTGTTGAATCTTCCCATTTTGAAGCATCAAGCAAACCTTGAGCAGAATTGCCCAAGAGTCAAGATGACGTCAGGTTAAAGTGGCTTTGTGGCGTTCTTGTCAAGCTTTTATTGCAGATACCTGAAACCTTCTCCTTAAAGACCATGTTTACGGTTGCTTCAGGTGAGGATTGGTTTTTATAAACAAGGTGTCTTCCCCACAAAGCTCCTTAAATCCCAGGGAAACCTAATGCTGCATTAACACTACCTCCACAGTTTTTTCAGTCATGTAGTGATTTATAGCAGAGGGCTTTTGGAACTGAAATCTTGTCAGTAGCAGAGTCAGAAGTGAGACTTGATCTGAGACTTTTAGCAGTCATGTAGCTTTTTTGGCCTGGAGTCTCTGCTGTGTGGGTGTTTGTACTGATAAGGATTTAGCAGGAGGTTCCAGCCTGCTCATTGGTATGAGCTGATACAGTTTGTGGTTCGATTCAGTGTTGTCAAATACATCCAGGGCTATGTGACCCTCCCCAGAGTATGTTGTCCATTATTGCTGTTTAGATAGGGATAAGAGCTCAAGAAGGCAATGGAGAAGAGGGTCTAGAGCAGTTTGTTTTGTTTGCGTGTCTGTCAGATGAGTGGGCATGTCTGTGGGACTTGGATTGCTAGCTCTCTCTTCTTGTGCAGAAAATGCAAAGGTGAATGATGACTCCTGTTGAGTCTCCTTCCTGTCATGCCTGTTAGGGCTTGTAAATGCTCATGGTGGGTCAGGTCATGAGAAATCTCTTTCATGACTTTGTCATGCCTGCATCAGTTTGAGTTTATTCATGTCTCTGGATCAGTCCTGTAGCTGCCCTTGCTCTGCTTGGGCAGATTGCTGAAGCCACTGAGTGTCTCTAACTGCTGGGAGGAGGATTGCCACCAAAATGCTGATTGCTGAAGTAGGCAAATGAGAAAAAACCTGTTGACTACATGTGGAAAAAATACTCCCTCCTCTTCAATAGAAGTATGCTAGTTGTGGGGGTTTATAGCCTGTAACCTTAATGGAAAAGTGTAGTATTTCCCTTTAAAAAAAATGTTTTTCTTTTACCTATTGCTCAGTGGGAAGAATAGCGCTGACAAGTAAGGAAGCTCATGCAAGGGGGTAGACAAGCCCATGCCTCCTCTCATGTGACAAAGCTTGAAAACTTTCCCAACACATGTTCTGCTGCACTCCCTCTATAAAGCTGAAGGGAACAGTAAATTCTGGCCCGTCCCTTTTGATTAATGGCATCCTTAATACGGGACTCCGGAAATTAATAATTGAGATTTGTAGCAGCAGATGCTCTCAAACGATCATGTCCACTTCCTTTTCTGCAAATAAGCCTTTAGAACTTGTTCCCTTCAACAGTAATAGGAGTTAATGAAATCTTGTTGTCTCTTCCTTTGCTTCATCATACCCCCACTGTTTTTTCTCTCTTCAGACTGGGGTGACGGACCAATGCTGGCCCTTCTGCTGAGATTTACACAGGAATAAGGGGACTTAGCACCAAGAAATCATTGTACCATCCAGGGGAACCATAGTGTGCCTACAGTGCTTCAGCTTGCACCCTGAACTCTGATGACTTCAGAGGCAGGAAATTAAGCTGACAGGGATGCTAGTAAAATACGAGGCCAGGCCTCTTGTGTGACTTTGAAAGAGACTGCAGAGCGTGGGTTCTCTAGCCTGTTTGAGTCAGGGATCACTGCCCTTCAGTGGGAGAAGTCCTTGGAGGTGGCTGCTAAAGGTTGTCCTTGCAATGTTGTAGAGTAGGAAGGTTTTGAGAGAGCTGGGCAAAAGTATGGAAGGAATGGAACAGTTGAAGTTCAGGTCTTTTTCTAGCAGAGCAGACTGTTTATCAACTGCATGATTAGTCATCTGTTTTCACAGTTTATAGCTGGGTTATCCTTTCTCTTGTCAAGTGAATCATGTCAAAACAGCTTAACTATTTGTTCCCAGAGTGGCAGAATAGGTAACTTTGCACAGTAATCTCGCAACAATTTACTAGTTGAGTTTTTTGTTTGCCTAGTTGTGTTTTATCTGAGCTTAGTCTTGCACTTTTCCAATTCAAATGCAATTCTCTCACTTGTTCCCAGAAGCAAGCTGTCTGCCTGCTGCTTAACTCCTACATGCCAGGGTGATGTCCAGGTATGGGACAGCTGGTTTATTCCATTTCCTCCTTTTTGTTCCAGTCTCCTAAGCCCCCAGTTTTTCAGCATTGCAGTTGCTTTTCCCTCCCCAGACATAGAATGTCACTGCTTATAAGCCAGCCTTTTTATTAAGGACCTGAATTGCCTGCCATTCCCAGAGTGCTTGCAGCAGTTACTGTTCGTAGTTTTGGGGGTCTTGAAGGCTCTGGGATGTTTACAGGTTATGTCTGAGTAAACTCAGCTATGATACATTTTTATAGCCCATAGTGATCTATCTGCTTAAAGTATGCGGTTCTCTTCTTTTTTTCCCTGCTGTACCAAATTACAGTGCAGACAAAAATCCTAATTAGAGTACCAGGCTATAAAAAGAAAAGGCAGTTTTCTTTTGGCTTGCTTTTCCAGGCTGAGAGTATGAGTTGTGTCCTGTATTGTAAACTGATGTGGTTCTTTTGAGTTAATTAGCACAGTAGTGATTTATGTCAGCTGATGCTTTGAGCCTAAGAATTTATTTGCTTGTCTGTAACTGATACCAGACATATCCTGAAATCTCAGGAAGGTGCCTGCTGCTGAGAAAGGGACCGATGTCCCAAAGATATTAGAACCATTAGAGTTATGGATACCTTTGACTTGCTCCATGATAACTGAACTCTTGTGCTGTAGCCAAGACCTGCATCAAGGAAAAGCTTATCTGATGATGCAGCTGGTCATAATTTTTTCAAGACTGTTTATTCTGTCTCTGATTTAAACTACAGCACTTCAGACAAGCTCTCGTATACTGGAACAAATATTTCACGGTAAGCTAGGAATTTAAGCAGAAACAAAGAACAGAAAAACTTAGAGGAGTTAGTATTGCATACTGTGAACGCATTAAATTTTTCCTTGTATGATTAAATGGAATGATGATACTATATTGCTTTATACCTACCTCTTAGAGACAGAGTATGTGTTCAAACCAGGCTTAAATACAGTAGAATAAACAGAATGGAAATAGAATGGATTCCAATAGAATGAAATAAAATTAAGTGGAATGGAATAAATAGCAGATTTATAATGACTTCTCCATCATAAACCTGCCTGAAACAACTATGATTTTTCAAGCGGGGCATAAGGATGTAAGTGGAGGTCTAGCAGGTAACAGAGACTTCAAGACTTCTCCCTTTTTGCTTGGGTTAACTACTGTGGTGTGTTTAAGCTAGGAAGTTCAGAAACTCATGGAAGTGTTGGAAAATGAAAATGCTGGTGACCCTGTAAGTACTCTGCACAGCACTTTTTTACAAGGAAAAAATGTAGACCCAAGACCAGGAGGCTGAAGTAAAGGTGGCATACTGAATGGAGTGATATTTGGCTCTAACTTTAACTGAGCACAGCACTGTAAATCCAGACTAATTATTCTGATTCTGGGATAAGTGATGAAGGCTGCTGATGACTGAACCTTTGCTTCTTATCACTCTTACAGGTTTATAGAGTTTGCATGGGCAGTAGCAGAAAAGCTGCTGTAGCTCAAGTAGCAAAAGAGGTAAGAAGTGGTGAGCAGAATGGTCATCTTGATTCTAGACTAAGATCAAATGAACTCTTCTTCTGGGAAGCCTTTTTGTTTTGTCCCCATAACAACTAGAGGTGTCCTGATGGTTTCAGGTTTTAGACCTCTGCTTGCTTTGCCTGAATTTCAGCAGGTGGCTTTGTTCCTGTAAATCTGTAGTGTTGACGAAAACGTCTAACTCAGTAGAACAATTCTCAAGGAAAACTTGAAGGAGTTGAGGTTTAGAGAAACAACAAACTTAGTTAAATGTTTGGGCAGTCCTGACAAGACACATAGAATGTCAATAGGGACTGTGACTGGTGCATGTGTATTACTATTGCTCTTAAGTAACTTCCATAAAATATCAGTAAATTAAGGAATGTGGGGCACTTGGTCAACCCTAAAGCAGATTCTAGGTCAAATTCAGAATCTTTCCATGAACAATAATAATTTAAAAGCTTTCTAAATTTTAAATAGTTTAATAAGCATCC